CCTGAGCACCTTCCAATCCCATTGATTTCAGCTAGCATTAGCAGCAAATCAGCGTAACACCAGCTTTGACTAATGATGGACAACAGAGCCCTAAACTAATGGGAAGTCAATGGGAGTCTTGCCAATGGCCTCACCAGGCTTTGCTCAAGGCCTTAGAAGCATTTTCCCTTCCTCTGAAAAATACGAGGAATTCTCTTGGCATGAGGAAGTGGCTTTCTGTGTCCCATATAAAATAGTTTTGGGTAGCCTCTGGCTCTTACACTCCCTGAGACTCTCCAGCATTTTTTCTCTCTCTATTTTTTTCTCAGGTTATGAATATGATGCAGCCATTCAGTTCACCCTGGAAACACTTCAAACGCTCACAACACCAAGGACTGTTTGTCTGACCGCAACTGTGGCTCCACCCCCAATTAACAAGAAAACTCTCATTTCTAGTTCCAGCAAGGTCAGGATGTACGTGGACTTCATTCATAGCCATCACTATAGAAACTCCCAGGATCAGAAGAACAGAAAGAAGAACAATGTACCTGGCAGGTTGAGATTAATGCCCATAAGAGATGAGGCATTTATGACACTGCTTAAGCTCATGCATGAAGAACTCTGCACTGAATTCTTTTACAAATTGATATCAGGTGTTATAATGAATGGCCTTTCCTTGTAACATTGGTCTCATGAGTCTCATGACTAGCTCATGAGGTTCACTCAGGTTCTGGTCCCAGTTCTCTGCAGTGTGGGCTGTATATCTGACCCCTAAGCCACACAATGCTGTGGCCTCCCCTGGCACTGTGCATCAGCTGTGCCTGGCATACAGGGCTGGAGGGCCAGAGAGCAGCAGCAGTGCTCTAGTTCAGGAAGGGCTCTCTGTAGTTGGATACCTACAAAGGGGCTCCCTGGAAACAGCTCAGGACCACGACCTATCCTCTCCCTGGTAATGCAATGATGCAACTGCCTTGCCTGCTGTCTGACAAATTGCTGCACTGGTTCACAGGCCAGCAGAGGACGGAAGAGGCCTGCCAGAATATTTTAATGGTGGTTTGCTGTTGCCACTGTGAATTAAAATAAGGAAGTATGCTGCATATACAAATCTGTTCAGCAAGTTGTTGCTCCCCCCTGAGCATATCATGGATCATAAATCTCAGTTGTTGCTGCATTATAATTATTTGCACTCCTTTATTTTCCAGGAACTTGTGTAGTCTTCTGACAGAAGCATACATTTTACACCATGTCACAAGTGTTAGACTTCTGAAGGTTTTATCTCTGAAGGTAATGTAAAAGCTTTGTTGTGAGGTCTCCTAGAGGTGTAGGTAGGCATCATACTGTTTGAAAGACTTTCTTTCAAATGTATCCCAGGAAAAAGGAACCCTTGTGTAGAATTTGTGGCATCTTAAATGATGGTTTCAATGTGGGCCTTTCAACCATAAAGAAGTTTCCTGATTTCATTCTTTGTGCCTAAAATGCATAGATGGAAGAATAAAAACTTGAGTTCAAAAGTCCAAAGTCATTTACAAGGGAGAGAACACCGGTTCACATTCCTTCCAAAATACCTTGTTTTGGAAGTTTGGTTTTGGTTGTTTGCATCCTCAGAAAATCCTATTTTGCAGGTTTGCTACTGTACTTTTAAAATATTTTATTAATACATAAAAGCATATTCATTCAAATGACTAGTGCTTAAAATGGATCTCCTGCTGTATTAATAATGTAGTTGGTAAAGGACCACTGTAAAATCAATACTAATTTAATAAATGATACTTAATTAAACATTAAACAGGAATTCAACGTAGCTGGAGACCAGAGTATCAAATACTTTGAAATAACTCTAAGCCATCATATTTCAGATTTTTGTACCATAACACTTTTGCATGGATTTGCAGCTTAGCTTTCTAACACAGTACAGATGTGAACAACAGACACAGATTATAGCCCTTTTATATGAAATAGGCTCTACTCTCCAGATGGAAATTTGTCAGATTCCTCAGAGCTAAGAAACATCCAAAAGACACTAGTTAAGAAACTCTTCAAGAATGAGCCACTTTTAATGATCCACAACCACACAGGAACAAATAAGGCTTTGAACAGTGTCCAGTTGTTTGTCTCACAAAGACAGGGACTCAGCTGAGAAAACTGACTTTTGGACACCACTAGAAGTAGCATACTCTTAACTAGATCATTTGTATTTTTTCATGTAACCTAGATTTTCCAGACATCACACCTGAAGAAAGCCCTCATACCATTACACTGAAAAGGACATTGAGTGTAAGAAGGAGCAGTAATATTCTTACCTAAACATATAATAATTCAACTATTCTGACTTTTGCATCCTACCACCAAAAACCTAAGTTCTTTCAAAACAGTGCTTAAATGTGGCTTTAACTGATGTTATACTATGCCTACATATGGAAGTAGTTAGCAAGGAGAAGTTGGGATGAAATACCAGTGTAAAGCTTTGCCCAAAACCCAAGAAGAATCTGAGAGAGGAAGTAGTTCAGTTAACTTATTTTTCCTCTCATTTTTCACTTTTTTTCCTCCCTGCAGTTCCTTTGATTCATGTCCATAAATGGACATACCAAAAGCCACTACGTTCTCACAGTGTTTTTCAGCCTGCCTGGAACCAGGAAATACCAGGAATTTCTTCAAGGAACCTGTTCCCAAACTGTATTAAAGCCTTCAACACATTTAGCGTTTGAACAGTTCAGAAGCATGACTAAGGTCCCGTCTCCACTGCAAGGCCAGCATTGCTCCTGTATCAGAGAACAACTGCTTGCAGTCATCACTGCTAGTCCTGGCTTTTTCAGCTCTTTACTGTGTTAGTCGGAGCCCACAACCCCTGAGTAGTGTATCTGGGCTCATTCTGAAAAGTTCCCCTCTGAAACATCTGGCTCCATATTGTGGCAGCATTCCTCAGCTCCTGTCTGTAATTGGGGCAGTGCCAAATGCAGGACTATTTGCATTTGCTTAATGGTAAGTAAATTCAACCCTAATAGTAGTATAAAAGTGTTTATGTTGTGAGGAACAAAGCATTTTACAGCCTCCTGAGCAGGACCAAAAGGTTGCTAACATGGTACTGCAGTGTTAATACAATCCAGTGGTGCCTCCATTCATTACTCAGCCCCATTAATTGCACCACTGAAAGAAATGCACAATCCAAATAAATGTTTGTTGGTTTAAATGAGTCCTATTAAAACCAGGTATTTAACAGCTTTCAGCAGCTATGAAATATGTTTTCCTGCTCCTGAGCTAAATGCTAAGAACCAGCTTTTCAGCCAGTTTTCAGGACTTAGGTCTGCCTAACTAACTGACATTACTGCAGCCAGACTGGTTTAGACCACCTGTGACCCAAAGTCCTGAGGCTGTATGGTTTTAGGGGAACTGCACAGAGCTGTGTGCCTGGGAGGGCTTCTGAGAGGGCACAGGCTGGATCCTGTGGCATTTAATGGGCAATAAGCTCATCAAACTTGCAGGAGCACAAACTGCACAAGAAAGGATTCTGTAAACAGCTAAAAGTACAACCTACCAGGGAAGTGGTAAGCCAGTGTGTCTGGTAATGAATGTGATGGACAAGGATTCAAAATAGATCTGAACTATTATTCAAACTTTAGGCAATGTAACATCTGAGAAGGTAAAAGATATAATCTTAATACACTGTGGTATGTTACAGTGTTAATTATGTTTTCTTAATTACATATTTCTTAATTCATGCAATTAAAAACCCAAGTCTTTACTCCTAACCAAAGAAGATGACATTTCATGTCTTCTGATGAGATTCATTTCATCATGAACTTTGTAATTTAGCATACTGTGCTCTGAAGGAACTTCCTTTGCCCTAACTCTCAGCTTTGGTTACGTCACATGCTCTGAACTATTCACTGATCCGAGAGCAGGTACAGCCCAGAGGACATCTGTAATGAT